CGCCGCGGGGGGGGGGGGGGGGGGGGAAGCCTACCCCAGAGATGGTGCACCACGTAGAGCTCTCCTATCTGTGAGAAGAAGCCGCCCACCGCCTCCTGGTTCTCTTGTCGGTACTTGATGGCCCGAGCCCTGCACGGCAGAAGAGTGTTGGGGAGGCGCCAGGGCCGGGACAGAGGACCCCCTGAGATGTCTCCAGGCTGATTTCTCTGCTCCACCTCAAGGGAGAAGCCCGAGGCCCCCAGCTCTCGAGATGGTCGGGGAATGGGGTGACGGAAGTGAGCTGCGGGCTGGGTGATCCCAGGGGATCCTCTAGAACAGCGGTTCTCAACCTGTGGGTCGCGACCCCTTTGGGGGTCGAACGACCCTTTCACAGGGGTCGCCTAAGACCATCGGAAAACACATCTATAATTACGTATTGTTTTTGTGATTAATCACTATGCTTTCATTATGTTCAATTTGTAACAATGAAAATACATCCTGCATATCAGATATTTACATGACGATTCATAACAGTAGCAAAATTACAGTTATGAAGTAGCAACGAAAATAATTTTATGGTCGGGGGTCACCACAACATGAGGAACTGTATTAAAGGGTCGCGGCACTAGGAAGGTTGAGAACCACTGCTCTAGAAGATGCTCACCTCCTGGTTGCATCCTCCCACAGGATCCCCGAGGGGCAGAGGTTGCAGGGTTCCCTGCCATTTGGCCCCGGGAAAGGTGGTACCCGAGCCCCCGGCACGGCCACTCACCAGTTGTTGCCCCACTCGATCATGGTTCCTGGCTGAGAGAGAACCAGAAGAGAATCGAATGAGCCCTCACCTCGGATTCCAGCATCACAGCTGGGTGAAGACCAAGTCTCCCCAACTCCAGGGGTCCCTTGGCCTCAATCAGGGGCCCAGGTGCATACACACCTCTGTTCTGGGCCCAGAGGGAGGGAGAGGCCAGAAACCCCAGCCTCCATGCCGGGGCACCCACCTCGGGGTGCCTATAGCTGCACTATAGCAGGGGGAGCGGGGCGGGCAGGGGTCGGGCGGGAGGAAGGCACCTTGAGCTTGTACGTCCTCAGCTCGTAGATGTTGGGACCTGCTCGGGGCTGCGGCTCGTTCCAGAAGCTGAACTCGAGAAGCATCTGGTTCCTCCTGGACAGCAGCATCTGGCTCCGCTCCTTCCGGAACTCCAGGTACTCCTGCGGGCGCGGCGGTCAGGGCAGGGCAGCAGGGGAGCAGGACTCCCACCTCCCACCCCCCAATCCCCGCAGCGGGTCCCACGGGGTGGCGGAGTCAGCCCCAGGCACAGGCTGGGCCAGAACCAATAAGCGGAGAGGTTTGCCGGGCGGACGCCAACGTACCTTGTTGTTTTTGAGCTTGTTCATGCAGTCCATGAGCGCGGGGTAGCCGCCGGAGAAGCGCCACAGGTGCACTGTGGTGGGGCGAGAGGTTCGGGTCAGGGGGCCCCTGGGACCCTGCCCTGCTTCTCCCCCAATTGGCTAAGCATGTGTGTAGAGGGGTGGCCTCCAGCCTGGTTCTCGGTAGCACCATAGGGGCCTTGGCAGGGCAGCTGGGCAGGGTCTCGCCAACCCGAGCCCCCGGCACGGCCACTTACCAGTTGTTGCCCCACTCGATCATGGTTCCTGGCTGAGAGAGAACCAGAAGAGAATCGAATGAGCCCTCACCTCGGATTCCAGCATCACAGCTGGGTGAAGACCAAGTCTCCCCAACTCCAGGGGTCCCTTGGCCTCAATCAGGGGCCCAGGTGCATACACACCTCTGTTCTGGGCCCAGAGGGAGGGAGAGGCCAGAAACCCCAGCCTCCATGCCGGGGCACCCACCTCGGGGTGCCTATAGCTGCACTATAGCAGGGGGAGCGGGGCGGGCAGGGGTCGGGCGGGAGGAAGGCACCTTGAGCTTGTACGTCCTCAGCTCGTAGATGTTGGGACCTGCTCGGGGCTGCGGCTCGTTCCAGAAGCTGAACTCGAGAAGCATCTGGTTCCTCCTGGACAGCAGCATCTGGCTCCGCTCCTTCCGGAACTCCAGGTACTCCTGCGGGCGCGGCGGTCAGGGCAGGGCAGCAGGGGAGCAGGACTCCCACCTCCCACCCCCCAATCCCCGCAGCGGGTCCCACGGGGTGGCGGAGTCAGCCCCAGGCACAGGCTGGGCCAGAACCAATAATGCTCCCCCTCATCTTGGGAAGGAGTGTGGTGCTGCCCACACCTTGATTTCAAACCTCTGGGCTGCAGACCTCTGTTGGTCTAGGCCGCCTAGTGTTGGAACTCTGTCACAGCAGCCCGAGGAGGCGAATACATCGTGAAATACTAAAGAACCCGCTACCGTGGAAGCAGAGAGAACAGTCTTCCATCCTTGGGAGAACGGCTGGGACACGGGAGGAAAGTGCCCCAAAGGCCCATCGATGCTACGCTACGGGCAGCTGGCTAACCGGCTTCCCAAATGCGGGTCCCCAGCCCCAGCCTGTCCCTCCCCTGCCTTTGGACTCCATCTGCGCCTCGATGGTTCCCTCTGCAAAACTGTCTGACCCTACGGTTTGTGTAAAGGCCCTTCCCAAGGGGAAACAGCAAAAGCACTGTATGGATGGAAGGCTACCACGACCAGGGATGCTGACCTGGGGAAGAGGAATGAAGTTAATACAGGGCGGGGAGGGGGCGGGGAAGGACTACCAACAGGAAGAAGTTACAGGCAGGACGTTCTAGATCAGCGGTTCTCAACCTGTGGGTCGCGACCCCTTTGGGGGTCGAAACACCCTTTCACAGGGGTCACCTAAGACCATCGGAAAACACATCTATAATTACGTATTGTTTTTGTGATTAATCACTCTGCTTTAATTATGTTCAATTTGTAACAATGAAAATACATCCTGCATATCAGATATTTACATGACGATTCATAACAGTAGCAAAATTTCAGTTATGAAGTAGCAACGAAAATAATTTTATGGTTGGGGGTCACCACAACATGAGGAACTGTAATTAAAGGGTCGCGGCATTAGGAAGGTTGAGAACCACTGTTCTAGATTCACGAGAAGAAATAAATCTCTAACCATGAAAGTAGTTCTTCTAGAAGAAGGATCAGCGGTTCTTACAAATTCATTAAAATGTAGCCCAGCCGGTGTGACTCAGTAGTTGAGCATTGAACCAGGAGGTCATGGTTCGATTCCCGGTCAGGGCACATGGCTGGGTTGCAGGCTCAATCCCCAGTGGGGGGCGTGCAGGAGGCAGCCGATCCATGATTCTCTCTCATCATGGATGTTTCTATCTTTCTCTACCTCGCCCTTCCTCTCTGAAATCAATAAAAATATATTTTAAAAAACTCATTAAAATGCAGATTTCCGAGCCCTACTCCGAGGGGGCCTCAGAGGGTCTGCTCCCCTGCTGATTCTCCACAGGAGACAACACTTCAAGATACACGCAATGTAGGACGTGCTTTAACACATTGTTTGCGGGTAGTTTTTATCGCGTGCTAACAAGTGGTGTGGGCCATTTTTCCACAGGTTGAGAACCGCTCTTCTAGAAGAAGGATCAGTGGTTCTTACAAATTCATTAAAATGTAGATTCCCAGAGGTTCTGCTCCCCTGCTGATTCTACACAGGAGACAACACTTCAAGATACACGCAATGTAGGACGTGCTTTAAAAACCCAGGATCCCACGCCTCAATGTTCATTTCCCAGCTAGCCGACACTTAAGAGAATCCAAAGGCTGCCCCTGGGGCTGATCAAGTTGTCCCTAAGGTGGGAAAACTGCAGGGGCTGGAACTGAAGACAGTTTGCTTAAAAACCCAGATCCCACGCCTCAACGTTCATTTCCCAGCTAGCTGACAAGATAATCCAAAGGCTGCCCCTGGGGCTGATTGAGTTGTCCCTAAAATGGGAAAACTGCAGGGGCTGGAACTGAAGACAGTTTGCTTTTCTCTTATCCACCTTTTTGAAGGACCAATGACTATTGCTGAAATAGAATAAATGATAAGAGAATGTATCTGCATATCACAGATTTTTTAAAAAAGACACCATTGTCACCCAGCCAGCGTGGCTCAGTGAGCATCAACCTATGAACCTGGAGGTCACGGTTGCCCGGGTTGCAGGCTCGATCCCCAGTGTGGGTTGTGCAGAAGGCAGCCAGTCAACGATTCTCTCTCACCATGGATGTTTCTATCTCTCTCCCTTCCTTTTTGAAATAATAAAAAAAATTAAAAAAAAGATACGATTATCAGGACTGTGAAAGAATGAGATAAGCTGGCTTAAAAGGTAGTGAGCTCCCCATTGCTGGGAGAGTTCAAGGGAAGCGTAGAGAACCTTCTATCAGGGCAGCTCCAGAGGCGCACCCTGTGCTGTGCAGAGTCTAAATCAGTCCCGGACAAGAGGATTTTCTACTGCGATGCAAATGTTCTATAGCCGTGCTGTCCAACACGGTAGCCAGAGTCACATGGTGCTTGAAATGTGGCTTGTGTGACCGAGGATTGAATTTTTCATTTCATTTCATTTCATTTCACCTAATTTTACCTTAAATAGCTACATGTGGTTAGTGGCTATCTTCCCGGACAGTATAGACCTCAAGGCCAAAGCCCCTTTGAGTGGCTGAGCTGCTATGAGTCAACGAAATCCATGGGTGGCCCCTACCACCTGGCGCCAACTGAGGTGGGTGAGTAGGGGTGGGGTGGGGCATGCTGGGGGGTAAGGAACCAGCTCAGACAAGAGCCCCTGTTTATTCCACAAATGTGAGCTGCATACTGGGGATTCAGTGATGAAGACAGACAGAAGGACAGACAGGGGCCCCGCCTTCCCAGGACTCACCACCTACAAGGGGAGACAGACAAGTACACCACAGGCTGCACTATCAGGGCAGAGAAAAGGCAAGTCTTAGGTACTGGGGAGCTAGGGGAGAGGCCTGGCCCAGCTTGGGTGGAAGGAATCAGGGAGGCCTCCAGGAGGAGGTGATCTCTATATCAAAATAAAAGACAAGGAGAGGAGTAAACCAGGGAAAGTGGAAGGGAGAAAGTCTGCTTCAGGTGGAGGAAACAGCAAGAACAACAGTGTGGAGCTAAAGGGTGAAACTGTCGCAGGCAGGACAGCACAGGAAGCAAGGAGGATGTGGAGAGACGAGGCCAGAGGCTGGGCAGGGAAGGATGCACAGAGCCCCGTGGGCCATCCCAAGGGCAGAGGGGAGCCCACACAGGTGTCTGAGCAGGGGAGTGAGTCGATGAGGATTGTATTTAGAAAGACCACTCTGGCCCGGCCGGTGTGGCTCAGTGGTTGAGCATCGACCTATGAACCAGGAGATGATGGTTTGATTCCTGGTCAGGGCACATGCCCGGGTTGCAGACTTGATCCCCAGCAGGGTGTGTACAGGAGGCAGCCAATCAATGAATCTCTCTCATCACTGATGATTTTAACTCTCTCTCCCTCTCCCTGCCTCCCTGAAATCAATAACAATATATTTTTTTAAAAAAGGAGAAAGACAGAAAAAAGAAAGCCCTCCATGTGTGCTGCTGTAGAGGGAGTGGAGGGCAGCAAAAAAGAAAGCCCCCTCTGTGTGCTACTGTAGAGGGAGTGGAGGGCAGCCAGGTGTAAGAGGTGCCGGCGGGGCCTGGGTGGGCGGCAGTGGTGCTGGAGACGGGGGCTCCTCACCTGCCTGGTCCTGCTCCCCATACCACGTGTTCCAGTTGCCCACGAGCGAGCAGGGGTAGTCCTCATCCAGGTGCAGCTTGGGCAGCACGGCCTCCCTGTGGGAGGGGCACAGAGATGGGGGGGGGGCGCTCACACCAGCCACATCGCACCCTGAGGTAACGGTTTTCACTCAGGCCCTTGGGGCTGGGTGTCAGCCTCCCCATCTCTCAGATGTAGATGCCAGACAATACATCCTTAGGACTTTCGGCTCCGAAATGTACATCCCTGGACTTCTGTAAGGAGCATGGGGCTGGGATCCGGTCCCCACCCACCCCAACAGGCACTGGAACAGGTGGACGGAGGAAGATGCTCACGTCAGGCTGTTGTAGGCATCCAGACACTCGGGCTTCACATTGTGAACTGCAAGAGAGGACAGAGTGGGAGGTGAAGCAGGGTGTGTGTGTGTGTCCGCGGGGAGCTCGGGTGTGGGGAGCCCCACAGGGCCAGGGCGCCCAGGACAGCTCAGGATCTCTCAACCCAAGCCTGTGTGGAGGGGCGGGCTGGAGGGCGGGCTGGTGGGCGCAGCAGCCACTCACACTGGATTTTGTAGAGGCTGCTGGTCTCCTTCTTGGACAGGAGGGTGGAGTGAGCGTCCTTCCGGGGATCCACCTTATGCACGAAGAGTGAGCGGAACCAGCTGCCTTCATTGTCCTTGGAATAGAAGCTGCGGGACAAAGGAGTTCAGAAGGACAGGTGGCCACGGGGAGCCTCCGCCCCTCCACAGGCTCAGGTGCCCCGCTCCCCGGGGCTGGTGACCCACATTCTGGGAACAGGGCCACGGAATCCCATGGCAGCTCCAGGATGTGACATGTCTGTCATTCGCTGGAGCCAGCTGAGCAGACCTGGTCCCTTCTGCAGGGTTCCGGGCACCCGGTTTGCTTCCCGAGTCTTTGCTGAGCCTCAGGAGGCCCAGAGAGCAGCCCCACCTCCCATCTCTCTCTCCAGCCTCCCTGCCTCCACTTCACCCCCTTCCAAGGGGTTCTCCACGGGGGGCCCCACAACTGCAGTCCCTTTCCCGGAGGCAAACCAAACCCAAACCCACCTACTGCACAGCCACAGTCCTAACAGCCCAGCCTATACTGTCAGCCTCCCCCCAAGTGCGTACCCCTCTCCAGGATGCTCCTCCCTGAACTCACCAGGCTCTTGCACTCTCTGCTTCCTTTGTAAGTTCTGTCCCCTCTGACGAGAAGGCTGCACTCCCCCTCCTTCCCCGCGCTCACACTACACCCGGCCTGCGCCCCTTCCCAGCCCCCACAAATGGATGGCCAGAGACCCATAAGCTTTGTCCCAGAGGAGGTCCCAGTTGCTGGAAGCAACCAGCCTTGGAACACAATGACAGCTGGAAGTCTCTGCCAGAGCCCAGGAGAGTGAGCCTGAACTTAGCCTCTGGCAATCTGGGTGGGCTCTCCAGAGGAGGTGATCTGGCCAGTGTCCAAATCTCCAGGGTAAAAAGCATAGCAAGGCAAGATTCATTCATCCAGCCAACACTTAATTGACAAAGATCTGCCTTGTGTACCTCCTTAGGGCCCTGTGAGAATGAATGAATGAATGAATGAATGAATGAACAAATGAATACTGTGCCTTGTTCAGAGTAGGGGGACCTGTTACCAGGTCCTGCCAGACCATAACTGCCTTCCCCACACAGTCCCAGCAGCTTCTGGCCAGGCCTGAAAAGCAAGTCTCCCACTGCATGATTTCCAGCAGTGGAAACCCCGTCAGCAAGTCCTCCCCTTTTTCGAGCCTTTTCTGTGGCTAGAATAAATGTCTTGTGAATTCAAAGCATTACATGTCCCCCCCAAAAAATATGCAGCAGCCACTGGGGCAGATGAAATTAAAAAAGCATCTTAAGCCCTCGCCGGGTGGCTCAGAGGGGGTTTCGCTATTGATCACATTCATTGAGGACGTCCGCGGTGCCAGGGATCTGTGGCCGGCTTTTCAGTAGCTTGATCCGGCTGAAGCTGTGGAATGATGTCACCGTGTTGATACTCTTGGTGTCCCCATTTTCCACATGGGAAAACAGAAGGTCAGGGAGTTGAAGGGGTGGTGGCAGGGAGAAGAGCAGCTCCTCCAGTTTGTCAACCAAGACCTTTGCTCCAAAGCTGGGCTCCAAGTCATTTATTAACACCAGCACTGACCAAGATAAACAGCCAAGCGGCCAGCCCTGGAGAAGAGCCTGGGGAGTGGACGGCAGGTCCAGGAGCTCTCGTGGGCTCCCAGGTCTTCCCAGCACCCTCCAATCGCTCCTGCCTGCGGGCTTCCGTTTCCCCGTGTGTCAGAGGAGCGCAGATCTCTCCCACAGGTCAAACCCAGCAAGGGGCCTGGCCAGGACCCGAGGGCAGCGTCTGACCCGGAACCCAGCATTCTCAGGCTCACATTTCCAAGTTCATTTTCTCAGCGAAATCACAACATTCTCTTGCCCTTGAACTCCTCTTTGACCTCTCTCACCTTTCTATTTTTCTGAAGCTCCTTCTAACACACACCTTTTTAAAAATCTATATTATCTATATATATTTTATTGATTTCAGAGAGTAAGGGAGAGGAGGAGAGAGACAGAAACATCAATGATGAGAGAGAATCATTGATGGGCTGCCTTGCCGGAAGCCGGTCCACCCTTGCTGCTTGACACAGTCGCTGCAGGGTAGAAACATCTGCACAGCTTATGTTTCAAGGGACCTGGCGAATATGGCATATGGTTTGCTCCCCCTCTTAGCGCTATGTGTTTTAAACAGGACCACCTCCCTGAGAAAGGTTGTTTCCCCAGGTTAGGGACTAACAGGACTAAGGAAGAGAATAAATCAGTAAATCCCCCTAGTGTTACAGAAATACCATGTACTACTTATGAAGAACTTGGACTAAGACTGTTGGCAATAAATTTGGGATTTGTTGGGCCCACATCCCCAGGGGTCTGCCCACCAGGGAAAGCACCAAAGCCTATACCCCAGGAGACCCACTGACACAGGGCAGTCCCAGGGAAGGCAAGCAGCAAGGCTGGGAGGACATAACCTTAACTGGGTAGGATAATCTTCAGTCACTTCCTTGTAGCCTATCAGTAGAGCAGTGACCTTGGAATAGCCCTTGTAATGGAACACAGAGATTAACCTAGACAGGATTAAACTCAATAGAACTAGATAGAGACAGGATTTTTGGCAAAG